TTTTAATTGTGCCAGGGTAATGTAGGTTTTTAAAAAGAAGTCCTTATCTCTTACAAACATATATTGAAATGGTGATGTGCAAAATTTTATGATGTCCAGTAGGTGCTTCGCAACAATCTGGAAGGCAGGGAAGTAGAGGGGTATAGATGTAACAAGATTGGCTTTGAGCTCATGATGTTGAAGCTCTGTAAACATACATTTGATTTCATTATACTTTCTACTTCTGTGAAGGTTTGATATTTCTAATAAAAGCTTTAAGTAATGCTTAAAAGAAATTTAAAAGTCATTTTCCCCTCATTATAGAAATAAAACATATTTATTGCACACCGTATCAGAATTATTCAGTTACCTTATTTTAATGTTCTGTAAGCAGTTAGATTTAGCCAGTATTTTCCTGTGTTGGTTTATGTACTAATTTATTTATTCATTTAATAAATGAGTTAATTAGTTGGTTGACGTAGGTTTTTCCACTTACATGTAAACTCAGTAGGGACAGAGATCTTGCTGTCGGGTTCTTTGCTTTATCTTCAGAGCCTGAGACAAAGCCTATTTAGGGCACAGAAAGTGCTCAATAAACATTTGCTGAGTGAATACATGAATGAATTATACAGAAAAATAAGTGGAAGAAATTAAAATAAATCAGAGAAGTAAATTCTGTAACATTTAAGATATACCTGTCTAGCTTATATCTGTATATTATTCTTTTTTTTTTTTTTTTTTTTTTTTTTTTTTTTTTTTGACAGGGAGAGTGGACAGTGAGAAAAAAAGACAGAGAGAAACGTCTTCCTTTTCCGTTGGTTCACCCTCCAATGGCCGCTGTGGCGGGCGCGCTGCGGCCGGCGCACTGCGCTGATCCGATGGCAGGAGCCAGGAGCCAGGTGCTTCTCCTGGTCTCCCATGGCGTGCAGGGCCCAAGCACTTGGGCCATCCTCCACTGCACTCCCTGGCCACAGCAGAGAGCTGTCCTGGAAGAGGGGCAACCGGGACAGAATCCGGAGCCCCGACCGGGACTAGAACCTGGTGTGCCGGCGCCGCTAGGCGGAGGATTAGCCTAGTGAGCCGCGGCGCCGGCCCCTGTATATTATTCTTGTCTACACAGTTAGTCCTTGCTTTGTGTAGTGGTGCAGGATCATAATAATTGATCATGAAAACTGGTATTAAGTAAAGTGATTTTGACACTCAGTGGCAAAAGTTGCTATTATTCCTTGACCTTCAAACTTTTCATATCTGTAAGATCTCTCTTGCTCTTGGCTATAGAAAAATGAGAAAAGTCACAGTGAAACTAATATTTATTTAATATGCAGTAATTTAAAACATTAGAAACATTGGGATTCAAGTGGTTTTTTTTTTGTGAAATCATCAATTTGAATACTGCTTGCCTTTATTTGTACAACTTATGAGATAGAGCAGGCATGGTTTTTTCTTTTAAAAGATTTATTTATCTATTTGAAAGGTAATTACAGGAGAGAGAGGGAGGAAGGAAAGGGGAAAAGAGAGAGAGGGAGGAGAGAGAGATATATATCTTCTATTTACTAATTCACAGATAATTGCAGTAGGCTTGGTGAAGCGATAGTCAAGAGTCTGAATCTCCATCCAGGTCTCCCACATGGGTGGCAGAGACCCAAGCACTTGGGCCATCTTCTGCTGCCTTCCTAGGTGCATTAACAGGGAGCTGGATCAGAAGCAGAGCAGCTTGGGACTTGACCTGGGAACTGGTGCTTATATAGGATGCCAGCATCCTAGGTGGAGGCTTAACCTGCTGTCTCACCACACTGGTCCCAAGCATGTTTTTCTCAATGTCTAGACAAATTGTCATGCTCTCTGATTTTGAATCAACATACAACATTTTATCTTTTGTGCTATTTATGTCAAGAAATACTTTGTAGAGTTCTTTTAACAGGAAGTTTTTTTGGCAGTGTCACTTTCCTGTTAGACATTGTCATCCTTTTCATCATAACCACTTTTCTTATTTTTGTCGATGAGCCTGCCTCTGCATGTCCAGAGTCTCTCAGATGGTGATTGGCAGCCCTGTGAATGTTCGATGGTCAATGGTGTCTTTCATATGAGGTTGTCTTTAAAAAGTTCATGGAAGAAAAAACTGTGCATGTACTTAAATGTTTTTTGCACCAAAATAAACTTATCTTTTATTCTTATTTCCCATGGACTTTTGAAAGTATCTTCATAACTCCATGGATATTTGATATAAAGTTAACTTTTAATTTCACCTTTTTTTTTTGTTTCTGTGCTGTACTTTCATATCTGTTGGCCAGTTCCCTCTTTTGATGATCCATGTCATGTGAGCTTATCACTGGGAGACAAGAAAACAGCACAACTACAGATGTTGCTATCTGTGTGTGAATTAAGCAACCTCCAGGGACCCATCTCTGAGAGACTGTATGAAGGGCCATGATTGGTCGGTGATCACGATACACATGATTGGCTAGCTCTATAGTGATTAATGTACTGAAGAGCTAGCAGCAGACTTTCTACTTCATGCAATTGCAATTAAAACACAGTGTCAGGCCGGCGCCGCGGCTCAATAGGCTAATCCTCTGCCTGCGGCGCCAGCACACCAGGTTCTAGTCCTGGTTGGGGCGCCAGATTCTGTCCCGGTTGCCCCTCTTCCAGTCTAGCTCTCTGCTGTGGCCTGGGAGTGCAGTGGAGGATGGCCCAAGTGCTTGGGCCCTGCACCCCATGGGAGACCAGGAGGAAGCACCTGGCTTCTGGCTTCGGATCAGTGCGGTGTGCTGGCCGTAGCGGCCATTTGGGGGGTGAGCAAATAGCAAAGGAAGACCTTTCTCTCTCTCTCTCTCTCTCTCACTGTCCACTCTGCCTGTCGAAAACAAACAAAAAAAAAAAACAAAACAAACAAACAAACAAAACCAGTGTCAATTGAAATTTTAACTGTGTTGTTGAGAGACTAGTGTTATTTAAGTAAACTATAGTAACTGAAATGCATGCAGATTAGAACCGAGCACAGTGAAGGCTGCTTCAATGCCAAGATGTATTTTATGGATATACGTATGCATTTTTCTTTTACTAAAGTGTGGTCACATTCTGCCTGAGTTTTTTATTATTCATTTAATTTTATATGCCATACATGTAGAAAAATCCACAGCAATCTTGGCTGCATGTTTTATGACTGCATGATATTTTATTGTAAAGTTTTACTACACTTTGTTTAACCAATCCTCCTTTAAGGACGTCTACAATTTTTCTGTTTTTCTCAATTATGAAAAATGCTGCAGTGGTCACCTCTGTACCTAAATCTTCAAAAAAACTGTTATTTGTATGGAAAGAAACAATGCACTTTTAAGTGGAATTGCTGTCTTACAGGACATACTTTTATTTATTTTTTATTTTTCCCTTTTTATTTTGGAAGATTTTCAAGCATATACAAAAAGAATCAATTAATTTTAGGCATGGATATGCAGAAGTATTTTAAAATGTGAGGAGAAAATGAAATTTAAATACAAATTTTTTGGTACAAAATTTTTGAAAGTCATGCACAATTCTTTCATAATACAAATTTTTGTGCACATTTTTTATGGAAAATGCTTTTATTTTTTATAGTTTTGATTTTTTAACTTTATTTTTAAATTGAGAGAGAGAGAAAGGAGAGAGAGATTGAACCCACTCCCATCTACTGGTTTATTCCCCAAATATCCACAATGGCAAGAACTGGGCTGAGTGGAAGCCAGGAGCCCAGAACTCGATCCAGATCTCCCACATGTGTGGCAGGGACCTGACCACTAGAGCCATCACTGTTGCCTCCAGCAGGAAGGTGGAGACAAGAGCTGGAGCTGTACATTGAACTCAGATCACTCCAGTGTAGGTCATGGGCATGTTAACTGATATTAACTGACTTATGAAATTCTATTCTGTCCTATGCCATAGTAGTTTTTAGATCTTAAGGACTTTCTTGCTTTATTAGGCTGTTTGTGTACATATATGAGGAGTCTTCAGACATTTCATGGAAATTATGAAATGATTTTGTGGCAAAATCTTTTAATTTCATTTTCCATGAAATTTTTGAAATGCCCTCATATTTCCAGAAATGTAGCTAAATATCCATATCTGTGTTAAGGGCATTTACACATATGTACCGTTCTTAGTGTTACTCAGGGACTATAGATTATAAAATATCCATGAACCCGAGTTTGATAATATGATCATTCATTTCCAAATGCTTCTCATCTGTCTGTCTGTCCATCTTAAGAAAGGGAAAATAACCCACGACCTGGAGGAAATTCTAGTTAAATTTTCATTACATGATTTTCAGGAGATGGGGTCAAAAGGAGCTAGTAGGGCATTCAATTATGTGCTTAAGAGTGTTGGAAAATGTGGTTTTTTTCTTCAGGTGTACAATATTTTACTTGGGCTTGTTTTTCAAGTGCACTGAAGTGTAACATTTTTGGGTCCTGCCATTATGTAAAGAAGAGGCCCATCTTGTTAACTATTCCTTCATCAGCTTTGCAGTTAGCCAATTACAGGCGGTGAGGAGCCTGTGAGGGCGTGGGCTTGAGGCATTGGACAGAGTTGGGCTGGGTGGGAGGCGGGGCCCCGGGAACAACTCAGGATTGGGGTGCTCTGTTGCACCTCCCACTGCTGTATATACAAGTGATTGGCCCATGCAGATTTCTGTGTAATAATTTTGGATGGGTCATAAGTGGGCAGGGAAGGGAAGTCGTGAGGTTGGACCTCAGCTCATCCGAGGGTTAAAGGTTCTCCACACATTACAGAGACCTGGTGTGCTGTCCTGGAGTGTGGTGGACAGCTAAGACGCATTTCAGAAGTGAAGAAACAGAGAAAGCTTTGCTTTTTTTTTTTTTTTTTTTTTAACCTTTAGATCAGGGATAAGAGAGGCTCAGCGAGAAAGATGTCCACTGAAAATGTGGAGGGGAAGCCCAATAACCTTGGGGAGAGAGGAAGAGCCCGGAGCTACACTTTCCTCAGGGTTGTCCAGCCAATGTTTAACCTCAGTATTTTCACTTCTGCAGTCTCTCCTGCCGCAGAACGCATCCGATTCATCTTGGGGGAGGAGGATGACAGCCCAGCACCCCCTCAGCTCTTCACCGAACTGGACGAGTTGCTGGCCGTGGATGGGCAGGAGATGGAGTGGAAGGAGACAGCGAGGTGAGGCGTGGCTGGGTGTGAGCAGTATTGACCCAGGGAGCAAGTGCAGGACAAGGTAGTTAAGTCTGCGAGGGCCTCTGCTGGCCTTGGCACTTTGAACAGTTGGTGAGCTTAGTGTTAGCTAGGAGAATACGTGATTCCGTTTCTTTCTTTTACATTGATGTGGATGTTGGGCGTCCATTATGTTATGTGAGAGCATTGCTTTATTGAGCATTATTCTTTGTTGGGCATTATTATAATTTTGACTTTTATAAGGAATTTGATATCAATCTCAATTTCTGTGCTATTTAGTGATCAAATATTTTAAGAGATAATAAAGTCAAGGAGCCAATGATGGCAGCGAAGAGATGTGTTTCCACAGCTTGCACGCAGCTAGGTATCTTGTGAGTTCCTGTTCCAGGAGAGAGGCTGTACAGACAGTGATGGATACCAAGCAGTTGCCATTATTTCAAGTAAAGACCTGGCATTTTCTTAATACCTGGTTGAATGCAAGTAGAAGGTTTACCTGAACTTGGAGTTTAGACACCTCAGTTTACTTTCTTACCCTGTTCCATGTTAGCTGCATCATATTCAGGTTCTTTGCACTTTGGTTTCATCATCAGTGTGGATAGTAATACCTGCTACACATAATATGTACGTGTGCTAGGTAAACTATGTAAGATAGAAACATGTAATGTATGTATAATTATGCCATATATGCTTATCTGCATATGTGTGTATGTATATTGAATTGCTCTGTAAGTTAATAATTGCGCAAGCATCAAAAGTTTCATTAATTTCATGATTAGCAGAGCTTTTTTTCACATGTTGATTTAATCGTGTACTCCAGCCTCAATCTTCTGTGACACATAACTGTGTAATATAAAGACTTTGATATAATGCAGCTTTTGATCTCATCATTATTTCAGAGATATCAATGATTTCATTTTCACAAATAAAATAATGTTAAGATATATCTTTGGTAGTTTTGAATTCAGTTCAACCACTGTTTTCTATTTTCATGTATTTAAAAAAAAGTTTTATTCACTTTTATTTTTAAGACAAGGCAACAGAGAGACAGAGACAGAGAGAGAGGGAGAGAGAGAGAGAGAGAGAAAGAAAGCTAGTTATTGGGATTTTCCAACTACTGGTTCAGCAGCTGGGACTGGGCCAGGCCCAAGCCAGAAGTGAGGAACTTCATCTGATTATCCTATATGGGGACCAGGGACCCCGATATTTGAACCATCATCTGCTGCTTACCAGGGTAGGCATTAGCAGAAAGTTGAATCAGAAGCAGAAAAAGGACTTGAATCCCCCAGGCACTCAAATAAGGGGTGCAGGCCTTCCTATCTGCATCTTAACCACTGAACCAGACCCTGCGTCTCAGCCAGGTTTTTTTTTTTTCTTAAATGTATAGTATCTATTAGGCCTGTTTTAGGAACTTGGAGTATAGCAGTGAGCCAAGGGAGCTTATAACATGCATCTCTATATCTTGTACAAAAGTTTGAAGTGATTTCAATTCAGTATCTTACAATCTGAAGAATGAGGAAAACCAAATCATTATGTTTATGAAAAATAAAGTAAAAGTAGGTAGATGTCCTCTTCTGTGGCTCTAGATGGAAAATGGATTTATATCTGCTGTTCTGGTTCTAGATAGGACATTCTAGAATTAAGCTTTTTAAAAAAAATCACTTATGATGGTAAGAGCAGATGAGCTCTAAGGAAGAAGTAACTCAATAGCCTTTTGTTTTCTGGATGAGGGCTCTTTTAAGGGTTGAAGAAAGAGCTTTTTTGTAAAAGTTTCATACATTATACCATTTATATTCATGTCTTCATGAAGTTAATTGAATTTGTTGTGGTTTATTATTCAGATTTATGCTTTGTAGGCTATGAATTTATTATTATTTCCACAACTTTAAGTACTATTGAATGTCTTCATCCATTTGGTATCTTAATACTGAAGAAGTTTCATAAATTAATTTATTTGATAAATGGTGAAGAGCTTTGATTTTATACCAACAATCTTTAGGTAGCTCAGTCTTACAGAAACACTTGCTCTTAAAAAATTTAGTAGAGCCTGTGGAGAATTTTTATTTCCCATAACTTAAACCATACTCTGAAAAAAAAAATTACATGTCACCCTGGCCTATGTGGTAAGGAAAGAGACCCAACTTTGAAATATTTTATTTTCCATTTGCTGGGTGATTCTCTTTTAATAGACACCTCCAGTGGGTATGCTTATTAAACTCTTGTGTTGCACAGCTAATTAATAGTTTCCTCTTCTAATTAAAAAGCTTTTGATAGCACTTTTCCACTTCGTCTTTAATGTCCTCTTTTGGAGCTCTTCATTCTTTGCCCTTTTGGGACATCTTCCCTGATAAAGTTATTGTTTCTTACTCTCCTATCTCAGAACCAATAGCTTGTATACTACGAGAACTCTATAAATTTAGAAGATTTCTCTCTCTCTCTCTCTCACCATGTCTCTCCCTCTATAACTCTGCCTTTCAAACAAATACATCTTTAAAAAAAAAAAGATTTTCCAAAAGGTTTCAAAGCAAGAACTTTTACTAGTATCTCCATCTAATTCTTCCTTTTCCTTCTTTGTAGTAGAAAAATGCAGAGTGAGACTTGTGCTGGTATAGCCTGAATTGAGTGAAATTTTGGTTGAGTCCTGTCTTTGCTGTTCACTACCTGTCTGGCTTCAAGCAAGTCACATGGTCGTTGTGAGCTTGAGTTTCCCATTCTATCAAGTGAGAGTCATATTGAGGTTGCAGTCTAACACTGTAAATATCTTACAGTTCCAAAACTTCATTCTTGTGACTCTAGGACCTATTTAGATTCTTATTTTCATCTTGAGATTATGTGTGATTAATTATCATAAAGTAGAATTCAGGTCTACTTCCTTGTTTTTTCTTTCAGTCAACTGTAGACTACACTTTATTTTACACAACCCTTGTTCCCAGAGGGAAGAGGGATGACCATCTGTTGTATAGGCAATTCAACTTTGAGTGAGGTGGCCATAGTAGTTTCCTTCTAGGCTCTTAAAGATGAAGATGTCCTTGAGTGCTTTAGCATCCTTAAAGCCTGTTTTGAGAGCACATGTGCGTTTTTGGTAGCCTAATTGGTCCCCAAGAGGTTGTACTGCTGGAAAGGAAGCCTTGTGTGTCAGGGGAAGTTGTTCAGGAAGAAAAGTTACTCACATGGTCTTCACTCTTGTGTAATTATATAATAGATATTTATACTTCTGTTATGTAGGACTTTCCAAATTGCCGTATATGTGATATTATTCTGTGCACTTGCTCTCCTGCATTGCCTTAATTGATCTGAAGACAAGGATCATCTTGTCTGTTTACTAGTTTTCCCAGTGCCTGGTTCCTAATAAGTGCTTAGTAATATTTGTTGAATGTGTGATTAATTACAGACTTTTTACCTTAGAAACAACTGCCCTGAATATACTACTTTCTTGCAAATATTGACTGACCAAAGTTGGAGTTTTATTATAATTCCTCTTTCTGACAGAAGGACAGCTGTGGAAGGAGAGATCCTGAGCACCCAGTTTACCAGTGATAAAAAGCTCAGGAGAGGACCTATGACATCTGCATTCACAGTCCTTATCTAGATTTATTTCTTTTCTTTTTTTTTTTTTTAAGAATTATTTTATTTATTTTGAAAGACAGAAGAGTTACAGAGAGAAATAGAGCCAGAAAGAGAGAGGTCTTCCATCTGCTGTATCACTCCCCAGATGACCTCAATGGCCAGAGCTGAGCTGATCCAAAGCCAGGAAATAGCAGCTTCTTCCAGGTCTTCCACATGGGTGCAGGGGTCCAAGGACTTGGGCCATCTTCTACTGCTTTCCCAGGCCACAGCAGAGAGCTGGATCGGAAGAGGAACAGCTGGGGCTCGAGCTGGTGACCATATTGGATGCCGGCGCTGCAGGCTGGGGTTTTAACCTGCTGTGCCACAGCGCCAGCCCCCTAGATATATTTCTGTATTTAGTTGGGATCAAATAATTGGAGGGCTGATAGGAGTCTCAAAATTAACATCCCTAGAACTTAAGTCCAGATCTGTTCCTCTTACAGCAATCCCATTCTTCTAGTTGCTTAAGCCTGAACATTGGCATCTTCCTTGACTCCTGTCTCTCTCCACACCTGCTATCTGGTCAATTGGAAAATTTTATGTTACTCTCAGACATACTCAGATATCTCATTACATCTCAAATTCAGTACTTCCACAACATAGTTCAAGCTATCATCATCTCTCATGTAGATTATTGCAAATGCCTGCTACTTAGTAGGTTTCCTTGTACCTTACTTCCCTCATAAACTATTCATCACAATCTCTTTAACATTACCTCGTTTATTTGTTCCCCTTGTTTGGTCTACTTGAGTCCCACTGGTTAGTTATGGTCCTCTGTGACAGGCTTTGCACGTGGCTTCCCCTCTGAGACGCTCTTCCCACCGTGCACTGCTGCGGTTACCTGCATGGCTTGTTTCGTCACCCACCTAAGGAGTTTACTCAAATACCTCTCAGCGGCTGTCCTGTCGGCAACTGAAACCTTCCCCAATACGTCCTATCACTCTTCCTCCATTATTTTTGTCCTTAGCTCTCACCACCAGGTAGCATATTAGATATCTTGTTATTCTCTCTTGGCAATTGAATTAAAGCTCTTAGAGAACAGGGACTTTTAGTTGTTTTGCTTGTCACCATATTTCTAGTTTTTCTACACCAACCTGGTTCACAGACCACACTCAAGACATATGGATTAGATGAAGTAATAGAGAAATCAGATCTTGATCCTTAGTTTTCTGCTCTGCCTAAATTTTATGGAGAAGTTTGGAGGTGATGATTCCATGTAGAAATGTTCAGCTTTTTGGCAGTCTTTCCTTCCTATGACATACTCTGCTTCAGAATGTTTTGTAGTAATTTTTTAAGCGATTTATTTGGAAGGCTGAGTGATAAAGGGAGACAGGGAGGGATAAAAAGAGAGATCTTCCATCTGCTGGTTTACTCCCTAAATGTCC